ATAACAATAACTTGCTGGTAGAAATTGAAGAGAAGCAGAAGCAGCAACAGCAGCTGCTGCAGCAGCAACTGCAGCAGCTGCAGCAGAAAACTGAGTCAATAGACGCAGCAGCAAAGGCATGTCCTTCTCATATGCAGCAGCAGCAACAACAACAACAACAACAGAGACAGCGACAGCACTAGCAGCTGCTGCAGCAGTAGCTGCAGCGGTAGCAACAGCAGCAGCAGCAGCAGCAACTACAGCAGCAGCAGATGGAGCCCTATTAACTTTGTTTGTTGGGTTTGTGCATGATGTTTGCTGCTGCTGCAGGAACAGCAGCAAAAGCATTCTTTGCTGCTGCAGCAGCTGCTGGATATCGCTCAGCAGCAGCAGCAAGAAAACCTCAGCGCAGCAGAAAGTGAGGCCAACTAAGTCTGCTGCTGCTGCTGTTGCTGCTGCTGTTGCTGTTGCTGCTGCTGCTGCTGTTGCTGCTGCTGCTGCTGCTGTTCCAGCCGCTGTAGACATTTACCTATGCCGAGTTTGGTGCTGCCAGCGCTGCTGCTGTTGCTGCTGTTGCTGTTGCTGCTGCTGCTGCTGCTGCAGGGAAAGTCAAAGCCTCGCAAGAGAACAGCAGCTCGAAGCAGCAGCAGCTGCAGCAGCACATTGATTCATTTATATCTGTTGCTGCTGCTGGGGGTGCAGCAGCAGAGCAGCAGCTGCAGCAGGTGATGCAGCAGGTGATGCAGCAAGCGAAGGAAAAAGCAGCAGCAATGCAGCAGCAGGCTGAAGCAGCAGCAGCAGCTGCAGCAGCAGCAGTGCAGCAACAATTTAAAGCATTCGTAGAGGAGCAGCAGGCAGCAGCAGAGCAGCAACAGCAGCTGCTGCTGCAGCAGATAGCTGCTGCCCAGCAGCAGCAGCAGCAGCAGCAATTAGACCAGAAAGCAGCAGCAGCAGCAGCAAACTCTGCTGTTGCTGCTGCTGCTGCTGCAGCAGACACTTTGTCTACTGAAGCAAATAAAGTGCTGCAAGATGTATCTGCTGCTGCTGCTGCTGCAGCGAAGCAGCAGCACAAATCCCTAACAGCAGCAAAAGAAGAAGAGACAGCAGCAACGCTGCAGCAAATTGCTGCTGCCACCCAATGCTGTAGACATACTGCAGTACGCCTCCCGCTGCTGCTGCTGTTGCTACCGTTGCTGTTGCTGTTGTTGCTGCTGCTCCTTCTGTTGTTGGCTGTGCTGCTGCTTGTTCAGCTGCTGCTTCTTGAGGTGCTGCTGCTACACTTCGCTTTCTACATGCTGCTGCTGCTGCTGTTTGCTTCTGCTGCAGCAAAAAGCAGAGGAGGGCCAGCAAGAGCTGCTGCAGCGTCTGAGTGTGCTGCAGCAGCAGCAGCAGCAGACTGCAGAAGCAGCAGCAGCAGCAGCAGCACACATGGAATCAGCAGCAGCACGTGATCAGCAGCAGCGGCAGCAGCTCTCAGCAGCTGCGGCTGCAGCAATTGACGCAGCAGCAGCAGCAGCAAACAGCAGCAGCAGCAGCACAGCAGCAGCAGCAGAAGCAGCAACACAAAAGATTTCATCTTTTGCTTCTGCGGTGGAGCAGCAGGTGAGTAGCAGCAACAGCAGCAGCAACAACAGCAGCAACACCAGCAGCAAAAGCAGCAACAGCAGCAGCAGCAGTAGAAGCAGCACCTCAGATGCTGCTGCTGCTGTCTTTGTTGTTTTGTTATGTGCTGCAGCTGCGCTGCTGCAGAGGAGACCTGGAGGGAGAAGCACATGAAAACAGCAGCAGCAACTGCAGCAACAGCAGCAGCAGCAGCAATAGCAACAGCAGCAGCAGCGACAGCAGCAACAAAAGCAGCAGCAGCAGCTGTTGCTGCACCGCATGCGCTGCTGCTGCAGCAGCTAAACGCTGGCAGTCGTGGGAGCCATCACCGCTTCCTCCGCTTCTATCTGCTGCTGCTCTGAGGTCTGCTGCTGCTGCTGCTGTTGCTGCTGCTGTTGTTGCTGCTGTTGCTGCGTCTCTTGGTGTTGCTTCGGTTGCTGTTGCCGTTGCTCTTGCTGCTGCTATCGCGCCACCTGTAGCTGCTGCGGCTTCTGCTGGTCCTGCTGTTGCTGCTGCTGTCGCTGCACCTGCCGCTGCTGTTGCTGTTGCTGTTGCTGCTGCTGCTGCTGCTGCATGTTGAAGTAATATTTGTTTGCTGTGGTTTTGCTGCTGCAGAGCAGAAAATAAATATACAGCGGAGCAAACAAAATGTGAATCTGCAGAGACACCCCAGACAACCTCTGCTGCTGCTGCTGCTGCTGCTGCTGCTGCTCCTGTTGTTGCTGCTGCTGCTGCTGCCGGCCCGTCCGACAGCATCAGCAACGGTAGCAGCTGCAGCAGCAGCGCTAGCAGCAGCAGCGGCAGCAGCAGCAGCAGCAGGAAGGCTTTGGGGGCCCGTCTGGTAGCAGCAACAGCAGCAGCCGTTACAGCAGCAGCAGCAGCAGCAGCAACACCGCCGCAGAAGCTGCAGCGCAGCACT